CAAACAAGCTGTCCAGTCTTTACCACAGGGCTTCATTATAACACATTCAGCATCCTTAAACATGGGTAATTTCTTGCTAGTTCGCATCTACCTGGCAGAAGTAAAGCAAAAGGCTGTAACAGTGCCTGCAGACTCAGCAGGACGCAGGGCATAAGGACGGAAGGTTATTTCAGCATTCAATAAAAAGCTGAAACTATTTTTTTAATCTTTGGCTCTTTGAACTTCTAACTGGACTACCGCCTCCACCTCACCCTCCTGCGCTAGGAAGTGGCCCCTCACCAGTAATAAATTCTCCAAGTTTTGATCCAGTTGGTGCAGTCTTGGCTCTTCCAGTGGGCTGGGGGGGAATTGGCTCCCATTTATTTTTGCTGAGGTATTTTATACTCACTATCAATAATGGAATTAGACATTGAGAAATAATTTTCCTTCAAGAAAGCCTTGCAGCATCATTTTCAGTCAAAAAAGGATTACAGCAAGTGAAACGGCACCTCCATCTCTCCGTACCTTTCCTATGTCATGCCATTCCAGCATTGCTGGAAGAGTTTGAAAGAATAGGGGCAGCAAAGCCACTCTGGGGGGGGCTGATAGAGCAAAAGCAATCGGTTCAGGTGTTTCAGCTATGCATTTGAAAATGGAGAAGCAGCAGCACAATTCCCCCTGGGAACAGCTGATGGGTCAGGGCACAGATGCCCCTACCTCGTGCCAGGGATGAAGATCTTTCCTGCCTGCTCCAGCACAAAGAAAATGCATTTCAAGCACCAGCAGTGCTGCCTAGGGTCTTGTCCAACAAAGCAAAGAGGGTCTGGAAGAGGCAGAATCAGTGTGCAGAAGAGCAGGGCCATCCCCCGGTGCGTGGCAGCACCCGCCCCATCGATGGAAGGTCCAGCCCTGTCCGCCCAGGTGGTCCAGGGCAGATCTCCGCTCTGAGCAACCCACCTGGGCTTTGCTTGTGGCCATCACATCAGCAAATTAGCAGGTGCATCATACGGCCCACAGCACTTAGCAATCATGCGGATTGGCAGCCTGTGCATTTCCTAAGGTTTAGGGTTTTCTTTTCCCTTTAAAAAAGCCAAAAACCACCAGCCTGCCTGTGAACACGGCAGTCATGCGAAAGCCAAAGAGCAGCAATGGGAGAAACTGTAAGAACACAACAGGAAAAATTATAGAAGTTACAGCAGGATGTAGGGATCTCCACAGAGGTTCCCATTGCTTCCCTACGTTCAGCATTCCCACTAAAATCAGAGGAAGAGAAGTAGAAAGTAGCAGAAAAAAATCTTCTTGTCTGCAGTTGTGGAAAAGAAAAGACCATTTTTGGATTAAAAAAAAAAAATTCCTGTCTGGAAATTTGGGGTGGAATCTACTTAGGAGCACTTGAGCGGCTCAGGTCCGGCTCTGTGCCCCGTGTCTGCAGCGGGATCGCACAGCTGGGGGCTGGCGCGCAGCCGTGCCGACGCACAATTCTGGGATTCAGAGCCGAATTCCTGAGATAAGTCTTTTCCAGGAATGTCTGACAGCGCAAACGAAGCAAAGATTGCAACATTTTTTCCATAGTTCTCGGCCTCTTGAAAAAAAATGAAAAAGGCATTATCTAACCAGCAAATGTAAAAAAAAAACAAAAACCAAAAACCAAAGCAACAAGCAGGCAGTTGTAAAAGGCGAAGAAGTGGCCATCTGCCCCCGACCGGGTGTCTCCTCCTCCCTCCCCACGTTCACTCCCATCAGGACCACTCAAGCCCTCGCACACGCAGGGGGTTCGAGCCCTGCCAAGAGGAATTTGGGAGGTGGGAGCTCAGCCTCCACCGAAGCCAGCTCCATCCTGTACCCACCTCTGCTCCCGTCCCAGGAACCCACCGCCTGGCAGTCCTGCAGTCAACCCTTGGGTTGTTTTGCTGCTTATTCCATCCCCACGCGAAAATCTATCAGGTTAGGAGCAAAATCCCAAACCTGCCCCAGTGTTAAACGCAAGGAAATCTGGCTGGCACCTGGTTTGAGCGAGTTCATCTTCTTGTTGGGCATCCCCGTAACGGTCATTAAACAAAAGGGTCCCTGTGCGGCAGTGAGAGGAGGCTCATCCATCCTCACCGTGCTGGGACCAAAAGGAACATCACAGCACAACAAACCCCCACTAAAGCCCCAACCCATGCTGAAGGCACGAGACCCAGCCCTACCTAATTCCACATATTCCGAACACCGAGTACCACTCCTTTGCAAAAAGTCAGGAAGAAATAACTGCAGTGGCCGCTGCGATGGCCAGAAGAAAAACCGCCTCTACGTAAAGACTAAGTTCTGCCAAAATTCCCAAACGAGGATTTCTTGCTCTTAGCCCAGAGCAGACCTTGGCACTCTGCGATTAACCGTTAAGTACCGTCCTTGGCACAGGCACAGAGAAACAAATTCTTACGGCTTTCTACAACTCAGTGCAGCAGGCACAGCCTGTGTTTTGAAAGCGATTTAAATGAGAACGGTTTGCGGTATTTGGTATAGGATCTTTCATATTTTTAAAAGTAAGCATATTCCTAGCAAAGAACGTATGAGGAGCATTACAAGGATGGGGCAGGGACCAAGCGGTAGCCCCGGAGGTGGCTCTGCCACAGCATCCTTGCCCTGTGTCCCCGCTATCGCTCCAAACAGTGGCCGACCACAGCTCCCCGGGCAGCGCAGGGGTGGTGGGGGCAAGGGGTTCGGAGATGAGCAGCGGGGAGGGAACCACTGGAAAGGATGCCACGTGGCATTTTTGTTCTGTTTTTACAAACAGATTCTAAAATCCTTGTATAAGTCTAGGAAATATCTTTTGATTTTTGTGTTCTTACAGCACCGGTGAGCTCTGCATCCTGCACCCAGGGTCTCACCAGGTGATGGCTGGTCCTCAGCAGCACGGCTCCCACACTCCTGCCTCGGGGTGGATGGGGCACACACTTTTTGCCCAAGCAAAGCCCCCTTCTCCTGATGCCAGAGCAGAGCCTTCGTATAAATAAGAGCTGTCAGAGAGCTCTTTAAGGCTTGAGCACAATGCACTTCTACTCAAAGAGCAACCCACTGGGGCACCTTATCAACCAAACTCAGCTGCTCGACTGCATTTTTAGCACAGTCATCTTGACTATAGTCCCTTTAATGATAAAAAAATCATCACTGGAAAGGATCCAGAGGGAAGTCTCTCTTTGAGCAGCTTCTGGGGACAGGGCAGTATAGACACACAACACCCAGCAGGACAGTCAGACGTGGAGGAAACCATCCCAACCGCATTTTGGACAAGCCTCTCTCAACACTGACAACTCCTCACTACACAGCATCCCGCAAACACCCAGAAAAAGCGGTGCAGGTTTGAAAAGCAAAAGATTTGGGGAGGCTTTACAGCCCTCGGCTCTGGGACTCCTAGGGGCAATGGCTACCTTTTATTTCAAAGCGCAAGGTCAGCAGTTTTGGAGCACGCATGAATGGCCGTGAAGCAGCCTGCCTACGCTGCAGATAGCCAGCACCAGCCAACTGCTGATGAAGGACATGGCTCCAGAAGGCTCCTCGCCTGGGATGGGATCCAACCGTTTCCTGGCCGGCCCGGACACCACCAGGCGTCAGCAGAGCCCCGTGGCCGTAGCGTCGCTCCCACTAAAACCAAAACCTGGGCCCACGCAGGGGAACAAGCCGCTGCTTTCAGCCCAGGGAAGATAAGAGCATCCACCTCCCTATGTGGGGTAACCACAAGCGTTTTGCTCCCAGCAGGCTGGGAATAAAGGTGACCTGAATCTCCCCAAACCTCTGACAGTCTCCTGTCACTGCAAGGCTTTCTGAAAGCATTTAGTGCTCTCAGTTGAACCGTCCCCTCTTTGCCAAGACCACGTGGCATCGGTTTGCTCTTAAGCCAGGACCCGTGTTTCCGGCATAGTGTGACTGTGCTCCCAGTGACAGCGGTATGATTCACAGTTGGTTTCACTGGGAGAATCTGGTTCCAGGGGAAAGCAAAAGTCAGGGTAACTGAAAACAAATGCTGGACACAGCACTGCTGGCATTAGCCCTGTCTTCTGGGGAAACTGAGGCACAGGCTTGCCTGACTCCCTGAGCACAGATTTCACATTACTGGTACCCTGGAAACTCTGTGTCACGGCATCTAAGCAAGCACTCCTCCCCTGCTGACCTCAGCAAACAGCTTGCTGGGTGATGTCACCTAGCGTGACATCAGCCTTCACCCAGCTTGGTCCAGAGGCGGCTGTTCAGCCACTCCAGACGTGTAGGTACCACAAGGGCCATTTCAGCAGTAGGACAAAAATGGGCATGAGCACTCAGCACAGCCCACGCATGGTGCTCACCAGCAAACCACAGGGCAAGGATTGCACCCCAAAACTCAGCCTGTCACAGCGGCAAAAAGTAGGTCAGCTTTCTAGAGAGTTGACAGGGTGCCCTCCGGAGAGAGGCTGTCCTCGGGGTACCACGTACATCTTTAAAACACCCTTACAACTGGGGCAAAAGGCAGAGGTGCCGAAACCAGCCCCTCTGCTCCCAGCAAGGTGATGGGTGCCCAGCGAGCCCTGCTCTAAGGGCTGCCTCGCCTTCGTACATCCGAGCTTAATTAGAATGGGGTAAGAACAGGAGATCACCCAAAAAGGCTCAAGCTCGTCACCTCCACTGCGGCTGAGCGTGCCGAACACCCTGCCATGATGCTACCGGGACCTGCCC